TATCTAACAATATTAATCAGAAATATCAGTTTCTGATATAACCCAATAAGCACTATTGCCACATCTCTAATTCAGGATTATAAATGATCACGAAATTCAATAAACATTAGTTACACACAAAAAATTAATCCGAAAATATTAACATGTCCATAAATCAAGGGAAACACCCAATATTTTTTAAATATTTCCTTGTACGAAAAGAATGGCATAATTACACACTAAGGACGAACGCCTTCACCAGGAGGGCAGCGGTGCCTCCCGGCGCCTGCAAGCAAGGCACTGTCTGCCCACAGTTCTACAAACGCTTATAAACTGCAAATTCAGGCGAATGGATCAATCAGTACGGGCCGTCTGTGACTCTAGAACTGCTCACAGCAACACCGATCCACAAATAATTAAAATAGTTATTTAATTTATTTGAGAGTTGAACAGGTGTCTGTGAATCGAGAAATAGCTGTCTCGTATGGACAATAAACCTTCTTTACCTGCCCTTATTCTTTAAAGAAGCTGCTGCACAATGCCTGTTGGCCCATTGGAAGTAGTTCCTATTTATAATGAGTCAAACTCAGTCATAAATGTGCCTAACCTGAGCGTGAAACAATCCACCGATCCAACGTCTGTTATATTACACAGTAATTTGCTCAGTAAATCCTCAACCCTGTTTATAAACCAGTATTATACAGGTCTTTCTGAACCTAAATTTCTCCAGTTTATATCCATTTTTTCAAGTTTTATTTTTTGTTGATATATTCAATTCCTTATATTCCCTTGGTCATAAGCTTTCATCCATTTATATATTGCAATCATGTCATCTATTCTTCGTCTTTCAAGACTATGTAAGTTCTTAATATTTCCATGTGGAAGTTTAGAAATTCCAAGGAATAACTTTGCCATCCTTCTCTGTACTGTTCACGTTCAACAAACGTTTATCCATTCTATTGTAAGGAGGCCGAACGTAAACTGCATAATCTAAATGGGGCCTGACAGAGCCACATTTATATAAAGCTGAATAATTATATTACATTAACGCTTCTAGAAATAAAACCCAGTATCTTATTTTCTTTATTCAGAAATTTTTTTGCTTTTCATCGCTTAAGATCCATACTACTCATGATTCCTAACTCATTCTCGCATGCATACTTCACAATTTCAAAATTTTCAACATCAACAGCTCATATCTGATAACTATTATTATTATCTAGGCTCAGAACTGTAAACTTTTTAGCATTAAACTGCATCTACCAATCTTTCGTCCATTTTATAAGCGCATCTAGATCATTTTGTAGCGATTTTGTGTCATCTCAATTTATTTCCTGCGCCATTTTCGAATCGTCTACAAATTTGCGAATGTTGCTGTTTAATTCTGTATAAATTTTCTATATATAGAGAGTATGATAAAGAAGAGAGGTCGCAAGACAGAAGCCCGGGGCATACCACTTACAACAGTCTCCCACTCTGACTTAACTCCATTACAACAACGACCACCATGACGCAACAACAATCACCATGACGCAACAACGACCACCATGACGCAACAACGACCACCATGACGCAACAACGACCACCGTGACGCAACAACGACCACCGTGACGCAACAACGACCACCGTGACGCAACAACGACCACCATGACGCAACAACGACCACCGTGACGCAACAACGACCAGCATGACGCAACAACGACCACCATGACGCAACAACAATATCTACAAAATGTGCAGAGGAGTCAAGGTATTATGGTCAAGACGCGGAAATAAATCGGGGGGATAATCTGTCATGCAGCTGAGAGCGCTGGGATGCTGGGATACATTGGGATGCTGGGATACAATGGGATCCTGCGGCACACTGGGATACACAGCTGATATCTGATAACAGGATATCTGGGATATGCTGGGATGTTATTATAATGAAAAGCAGTGGGTTACGCTGGATGCTGGGATACTGGAAGGCTAGAACTGGGATACACTAGGATGCTCAGATACACTGGGATACTCTGGGATGTTCGAAAACACTGGGATGTTCGGATATTCTGAGATAATCTGGGATAATGGTACATTAGAATACACTGGGATACGTATGTATGCTGGGATACAGTGGAGTCATGGGATATGATGCGATATTAGGATGCTATGATAAACTGGGAAGTTGGGATCAAATTGGGAACCCTGAGATAAATTGGGATACCATTCCTCACTCCACTGCTGACGTCACAGCATCTGTATCGAGCCCGCCAGCTTACAAATAAAAACATTGAAAATAAATTGTACGCAAAAACACACACACACACACAAGGTTGAAAGCGGCGCCAACGTGGAGACTAACACACAGTGCATAACCGGCTATACAGCACGCACAGACCCACGCAAGAAAGTGAATAACACGCAAACATAAACATTTCTACAATGCAAGAGCAATATGTCGATATAAGCTCAAGTATAAGAGAACTACAATGCAAGAGACGGGGAGGAATGCCGGCCCTGCCAGTCTCGTTCTCCGCGCCCCAAGTGCACTATGCTCCAGGCGTCGCTACGGCCAAACGAAGATGAATGGACGAAAATGTCTACAACGCTGATGAATAATGGCGGAGGGAACGTGGAATGAGTTACGGCCGAGGGAACGTGGAATTAAGGTAATGAGGGCAAGGCATGAATATCCACCTCCCCCTCCCTCTCTCTCCCCCCATAACCTCTTCCCTCACGAATCAAAATAATCATACAATCAGTTAAGGCGCGGAGGGTGAGGGGGTACAGATGCAATCATGCCAAAGGTAATGCCTGCATTAGGAAGTTCTTGCAGTCATTATGAGAAGAGGAACGCCACAGCGCGGCACGACTTGTGGATCAGATCTTCCATACCCTACAGCAGCGTCTGGGTACCTTGTGGGAGGTCTACACAGCCTGTGGTAGCCTGTGGTGTACACAGCCTGTGGTAGCCTGTGGTGTACACAGCCTGTGGTGTACACAGCCTGTGGTGTACACAGCCTGTGGTGTACACAGCCTGTGGTAGCCTGTGGTGTACACAGCCTGTGGTAGCCTGTGGTGTACACAGCCTGTGGTGTACACAGCATGTGGTAGCCTGTGGTGTACACAGCATGTGGTGTACACAGCCTGTGGTAGCCTGTGGTGTACACAGCATGTGGTAGCCTGTGGTGTACACAGCATGTGGTAGCCTGTGGTAGCCTGTGGTGTACACAGCCTGTGGTGTACACAGCCTGTGGTAGCCTGTGGTGTTCACAGCATGTGGTAGCCTGTGGTGTACACAGCATGTGGTAGCCTGTGGTGTACACAGCCTGTGGTGTACACAGCCTGTGGTAGCCTGTGGTGTACACAGCCTGTGGTGTACACAGCATGTGGTAGCCTGTGGTGTACACAGCATGTGGTAGCCTGTGGTGTACACAGCATGTGGTAGCCTGTGGTGTACACAGCATGTGGTAGCCTGTGGTAGCCTGTGGTGTACACAGCATGTGGTAGCCTGTGGTAGCCTGTGGTGTACACAGCCTGTGGTAGCCTGTGGTGTACACAGCATGTGGTAGCCTGTGGTGTACACAGCATATGATAGCCTGTGGTGTACACAGCATGTGGTAGCCTGTGGTGTACACAGCATGTGGTAGCCTGTGGTGTACACAGCATGTGGTAGCTTGTGGTGTACACAGCATATGATAGCCTGTGGTGTACACAGCCTGTGATAGCCTGTGGTGTACACAGCATGTGATAGCCTGTGGTGTACGCAGTCTGTGATAGCCTGTGGTGTACACAGCATGTGATAGCCTGTGGTGTACACAGCCTGTGATAGCCTGTGGTGTACACAGCATGTGATAGCCTGTGGTGTACACAGCATGTGATAGCCTGTGGTGTACACAGCATGTGATAGCCTGTGGTGTACACAGCATGTGATAGCCTGTGGTGTACACAGCCTGTGATAGCCTGTGGTGTACACAGCCTGTGATAGCCTGTGGTGTACACAGCATGTGATAGCCTGTGGTGTACACAGCATGTGATAGCCTGTGGTGTACACAGCCTGTGATAGCCTGTGGTGTACACAGCCTGTGATAGCCTGTGGTGTACACAGCCTGTGATAGCCTGTGGTGTACACAGCATGTGATAGCCTGTGGTGTACACAGCATGTGATAGCCTGTGGTGTACGCAGTCTGTAGGTGGTCTAAACAGTTAGAGGAGAGCCGGCACATCTTGTACAGGTTCAGGTATTGTTGTTGGTAGTAAAAAAGCCTCGACGGTAGTTAGCCGAGGCCAAGAACAATCAGTTCACACAATTAGACTTGCCTAATATAAACAGCCGACTCACGCGATGGGTAATTGATCCACCTGATGAATTGCAGGCAATCTTACTGGCTCGAGGTAGGTATCTCACTGGCTGAGGGTAGGAAGTCTTACTGGCTAATGGTAGCTGATCTTACTGGTTTCAAGTACGTAATCTTTCTGGCCTAAGGTACGTAATCTTACTGGCTCGAGGTAGGCTATCTTACTGGCATAAGGTAGATAATCTTATTGGTGTAAGCTAAGTAGATTTACTGACTCAAAGTGGATAATGATATTGATTCAAGGAAGGTAATCTTACTGGTTCAAGGTGGATCCAAATCCTCCAACCACGATTCAAGCCAGTGTTTCATAGTTTGATGACGAAACCCCTCACCAGAAGATGATGAAATGATTACCTTTCGATCCATTCTGGACTATTATCACGTTGTATTTTCGGTCCAGGACGGACCGAAACGTCATCGTTTCTTCATCTTTTGGTATGTGGCTTAGTCATCATATCTTCAGGCCCGTTATTGGGATTCATCGTATGCATAGCTTCTACGTCGTCTGGAAGGTACATAGCAACCTAAGACCAGGAGCTGCAGGTAAGGTCATACTTCACAGACGAAATAAGAAGTAAGTAATTATCAATAAAAGACACCAAACCGGGAAGGCTATGTAGCACCAGACGAAATAAGAAATATGTGTAAATGTCGTTCACATGCATCATAAAGAACACGACTTACCAGCGAGAAACGACTGCGAGGTGTTGAGGGCGTCGGCCAAGGTGGTGTTGGGCGGGATACGGGCGTTGAGGGCGGCTGAAGAGGGCGCGCCGCTACCGACGGGGAAGTTGGGAGGCAGGGGAGGGGCGCCGTTGTGGGATTGGGAGTTTTTGTTGTTGTTGGCGGCTGTGGTGGTGGTGGTGGTGGTGGCGGTGGTGATCGTTGTGGCGGCGGATGTGGCGTTGTTGGAGGACGCGGTGGAGGTGGAGGCGTTATTGTTGTTGTTGTTGGTGGCGTTATTGTTGTTGTTGTTGTTGGTATGGAAGGAGGAGTTGGTGGATGTGTTGGTGATGGGGGTAGGGGGCGTGGTGGGGCGGGGGTGGTGGAGTGCGGGCGGGAGTCTTGACCGCAGCGTGACCAGCTCGCAGCCCAGGGACCTCAACCGCTGCTCCAGCTGCGCCGCCTCGCTCGTGCCACACGCATCTGTGCCAGGGAGAAGGAGAGCATGAGCAGAAAAAAGTAATATTACAAGTAGACATCAAGCCGGGAAGATTATTTACCAGCGTACATCAGTAGGAGATAAACGTAATATTGACCCTTTACAAGTGACGTCACACCGCCACGTCTGGAGGTCAAACGACGTTGCGTCCCTATTATGTTTGCGTCATGGAGAACGTCAGCTGTGTTACATCACAATGGTCGAACTCTAGAGCCTCTCGGTGCTTCTCCACCCTGACACTACTGATGCAGCCACATTTGACCCCCAGTGGGGCCACAGTACATGGAATCTGTTCACAACAATGTCTTAATCCAAAATATTCCTCTCTTCCAATGTTGCACTGGTTCCTGATCTCAGAAACTCTTGCAGTTACGTTCCCTTACAGATACAGTTACACAATGCTTCAACTGTAGCTGTTTCTCTCAGGTACAGAGTCCATTACTAATCCAAATACTGTAGGAGTTGCAGTTTAGTCGTGCTGCTGTGCGATGAAATGCGATGATAACTTTATTAAATAAAACAATGGGGCTGACATGTGCACCGATAACATTAGTGATCATGTTCAGCCTCTGCTTAGTATAGTTCATTTAACGAGGGAAATATATATTATGATTTAAGCTAATGTGTGACCTGAATAATCCATAGGAAGTAAACACGTGCAGCCTGTATTATCATATGACCTGCAGTAAACTTATCACTATGTAGGCATCAATGTTGAAAGATCAGTTGGCTCTTAACAATATACAACGATGATTTTGATGACCTAACCACACATCAGGAGATGAAGAAACGACGACGTTTCGGTCCGTCCTGGACCGAAACGCGCACACACATCAAGTGTGCGCGCGCGTCACTCGCATACGATTTGATAATGGTCCAAAACGGACCGAAACGTCGTATTTTCATTTCCTGATGTGTTTTTTTGGTCATCATATCTTCAGCCACGTTATTGTGACTCATCGTCTGCAACGATGATTTTGCTAATACATCAAATGTCTAAAACTGTCCTATGAACGAACACTCCTACTCAAAAAGCCTCCTGGCATAACAAGCAGTGCGCCGAGATACCGACAGTGAGGGAGCAATATGTATAGACTACAAGAGTTTCTATTTGAAACACTCGAGCAATGGGGGTAAGAATATTGTTACCGTTTCACCAGCAGGAGAGGAGTGGGAGCTCGAAGGTGTTACGTGTGAGTGAATATAGAAACAGTGCATTACAGATTGTAAATGGATTCAAAATTAGTACTGAAATATACAGTGAGATATCCATAGATTTCATTAGAGTCATTGCCTATTGCCAGTACAGACTACTTACCACGTGCCTCACTGTATGACTAATCATCCTGTGTGATGAGGATTTTTTAGCGTCACATATCTAGCTTTTTGACACACTTTACTCCCCCTTCATATAGTCTAGGGTAGCTCCACAAATGTAGATGTACCTAAATGTGTTAATAAAAAAAAAAAGATGACCCGATCGCTGCAGAATCCAAAAACATTTGGACTTCTATTCCAAAGTCCAAATATTTTTGGACTTGCTTGAATAATATGGTTACCTTCTGGGGTTTTCTGATTGTCATGCATAAATAATACCTGCTGGTATTAGCAACAAGTATAAAACAACTGAAAGATTTACTGGGGTGAATTAAATATTATTTGTTGGGATACTGGAATCTTGCTAATGTCTCCTAATACAGTTTAGGGACTGTGGCAAAAATAACACGTAAAGGGTTGGGATAACGTTGGCACCAAACAGGCTGTTGTCTGGATATGGAGAGTGAGTATGTATGTATGTATGTATGTATGTATGTATGTGTGTCTTAGGTTGTGTTAATGATTTGAATATAACATTGAAAAGGGAGTAATAAGGCCGCATTGGGCTAAGGCTACAGTGAGATCTAATACTAACGTTACACAGCTGACATGAGGCATGTGTGTGAGATTTGACACTTGGGTGTTAATGCCTCTGAATACTGTTTAGGCAGCACTGGAAAGCGAGGTAACACAAGTTATGTTTTAAAATCTGATTTCAAGAACTGCAGAATATATATAAATCTTGCTTGCATATATGTAGATTAATTAATAAAAATATATGTATATATCGTGCATAAGGTGTGTGGATACCGACGCCACCTACAGTGACGTGTGGGATACCGACGTCACCTACAGTGACGTGTGGGATACCGACGTCACCTACAGTGACGTGTGGGATACCGACGTCACCTACAGTGACGTGTGGGATACCGACGTCACCTACAGTGACGTGTGGGATACCGACGTCACCTACAGTGACGTGTGGGATACCGACGTCACCTACAGTGACGTGTGGGATACCGACGTCACCTACAGTGACGTGTGGGATACCGACGTCACCTACAGTGACGTGTGGGATACCGACGTCACCTACAGTGACGTGTGGGATACCGACGTCACCTACAGTGACGTGTGGGATACCGACGTCACCTACAGTGACGTGTGGGATACCGACGTCACCTACAGTGACGTGTGGGATACCGACGTCACCTACAGTGACGTGTGGGATACCGACGTCACCTACAGTGACGTGTGGGATACCGACGTCACCTACAGTGACGTGTGGGATACCGACGTCACCTACAGTGACGTGTGGGATACCGACGTCACCTACAGTGACGTGTGGGATACCGACGTCACCTACAGTGACGTGTGGGATACCGACGTCACCTACAGTGACGTGTGGGATACCGACGTCACCTACAGTGACGTGTGGGATACCGACGTCACCTACAGTGACGTGTGGGATACCGACGTCACCTACAGTGACGTGTGGGATACCGACGTCACCTACAGTGACGTGTGGGATACCGACGTCACCTACAGTGACGTGTGGGATACCGACGTCACCTACAGTGACGTGTGGGATACCGACGTCACCTACAGTGACGTGTGGGATACCGACGTCACCTACAGTGACGTGTGGGATACCGACGTCACCTACAGTGACGTGTGGGATACCGACGTCACCTACAGTGACGTGTGGGATACCGACGTCACCTACAGTGACGTGTGGGATACCGACGTCACCTACAGTGACGTGTGGGATACCGACGTCACCTACAGTGACGTGTGGGATACCGACGTCACCTACAGTGACGTGTGGGATACCGACGTCACCTAGTGACGTGTGGGATACCGACGTCACCTACAGTGACGTGTGGGATACCGACGTCACCTACAGTGACGTGTGGGATACCGACGTCACCTACAGTGACGTGTGGATACCGACGTCACCTACAGTGACGTGTGGATAATGACGTCACCTACAGCAGCATGTGGAGCTAACAATTTAGCGCCTTTAATGACGTCATGCTAATGACGTCAGCTAAAGCGGTGGTACAAGAAGTACTTTTGAGAACTGTATAATGATAGTATATTTGCCGCTTGCATGCAGTCATGGTCTTGCTGGACCAAACTGCTAGCTTGGAGATGTTAATGCAATATGAGTAATGTACTTGCTGGACCGACCTCCGTGTTATCTACTTTGAGTGATTACAGCAAGAGATTAAGGCGGATATGAATAGCAGATGCCGATAGGCCTTCTGCTGTGTTTTATTTATTCTTATGTTCAATAACCGACCTTTAAGTATGCACTAAAAACATTTGGTAGAAATGAACAATCTTTGGCCGAAACACCAACAATTTGTCATTGAAATTATGTAATCTTTAACTAGTTACTGAAAATCATTGGAACAAATATTGGATTTTAACTGCAGAGAGACAGACACCACCAGAGACAGTGAAGGAACACCTGGAGGCACCAGAGAGACCCTGCCTCCACCGCAGACAGTGAGGGCACACACACTTATGTATCTCCTAATTTGACAGGGTAAGATAACTGCTATAGAAACTAGTGTGTTATTAAGCACTTAACCACTGAAGGGGATTAAGATGCCTTGACAAGCTCAAATTATAGTTATATCACATTACATTGTATAACTGATACATTACATAGTCAGTCTTGGGTACGAGTTCAGTGTATCATCAAGTGTTTCAGTATTCAGATAGTATTTAGTACAAGACAAGGGGGAGTGTCGAACTAGGAAAGGAGGGTGTGGTAGAGGGCGTGTCATGGCATGGGGAGGAGGTGGGTGGCGCGGGTGGTGGTGGTAGAGGGGCGGGCCTGGTCGTGACTGACCGTCTGGGCGGCAGGCCAGGTCGTGACGACAGCGGCAGGCAAGTGGCGGAGCTACTATCATTACTGACACCCGCCACGCGCCACCGCCACGCCCTCCTCTCGCACGCCTTCACGCTCCTGCACGATGTCTCTCATCTGCCACAGCTTCCTGGAGGATCCATACCTGCTCCTGGACGATCCTTGTCAACTTCCAGAACTAATTCGAACCTAAGCTCTGTACTGACTTGACTCATTCTCACCCCTACTACAGTCCTGACCCAGTGTGAGAGAATGGAATTTCATGAGTGTCTTAAGTGTGAGGCATGGAGAGAGAAGAATGGGTCAGAGGTCAGTTTGGGCGTCCAGGCACAGTTGGGTCAGGTCACCAACTGCTCCAGTACACTTCCATGACCTTATTCTGACCTTCTGGTTTCCCAGCATCCACAGATCTTCAGTACCATCTATTGGTATTGTAATGGCTCCAAAGAACATCCATTTATGGGCATGCCCGAGCCACTTCTTAGGTGGCCTTAGGTGGCCACTTCTTAGTGGCTTAATCTTCATAAATCACTCAATCGTTATTGGAAGATTAGTGAAATTTAGGCTTGCTGTGTGATACGAAGACGGTGAGCAAAACCAGACTCTGAGTGCCGTGCCGCGAGCCCAGACGAGTACCGTGTTATACGCGCGCCGTGTCGTCTATCCGTGCCGTCCATCTCCGTGCTCTGATCCCGCCGCCTGCGATTGTCTTCCATGTGTTGTGCTCTGTGTAGCTGCCGGCCGCGACGCCTATTAGCCTCGACTGTAGTGGTGCAGCAGTAGTAGTGG